ATCTTCGCGCCGTTATTTATTGATTTCCTGGGTGAATGAATATTGGTGGTTGGGAACTCACTGGCAATGCCAAATTCAAAATTTCTGATATTGTGATGATAGAGTTTACCACGATAATATAGGAATGGAGTATACCAGCAAATCTTATTTCTAACAGTCTGTGCATGTCTATTAAAGCTACCAAAGGTCGGTCCCTAAGGGCAAGTCCACTCTAGAGGTGTGGTAGCTGGGAAAGACAGGCAGTACATGAAGTTTTGTCCAACTGAGGCATTATTTGTTGGGGTTGTTACTTGAAGGACAGTGGTCATTGCTATTTTGGGACAGAAGACTTTTTTGAAAGTCACCTCAACCATGTAGCTATGGAACACAAGCTCCATACCTCATCAAATAACCTGTTGAGATGATGAAAAAATGGGACTTTAGAAGAAATTTTATGAAACTGAAATAATTCTCAAAGAAGCACCAGTATTTAATTAAATATAGAGTTTGTCAACAAAGAGCTCTCTTAAGGGGGATACCATAAAAAATCTGCATACCCAGAATGTATTTACTCCAGAATGCAGCAGTGAAACGTGGCAAGTCTAAGGGTTACCAGTGATGCAGTGGTGGCAGTCACTGTGCTTCGTCTACATATGGGCTTGCCAGAGTGATTAACTGTATTAATGTCGGTCAGAACTTCATTCCAACTACTTGTGTTTATTATGACAATAAGCTCCATGGTTTAGTCAGTTACCTTAGGCCTTGATGTTGAATTTGGAAATGGTCACATATGAAGTGTTGATATCCAAATTTACTGTGATACATCCATGTCATCTTTAATGAGGGTCAGTTCTAAAGGTGCACAACACTGCTTTCCATCGAGGCCGTCAGATTTACACCATGGGTCGAACGCAAACAATACTTTTGTTTTGTATTCATGAACTTGTATTCTTTAAAACATGGAATTGTGCATAGAAGTCACAAAGTGTGACATATTTGTATAAAATCTCTACAGACTGAACAAGAAGTTTTGTCGCCCATCTTACTAATGCTAAGTTGTTACTTTTGTTTAATCCAAATGCAGTTGAACGGAGAAGACGTTTCAACATCAATGACCGCATTAAAGAGCTTGGAACCCTCATTCCAAAGAACATAGACCCGTAAGTTAATCCATTAAACTTTTCTTGTCACAGCATTGTTATCTTACAACTTGTCCCTTGGTGAAGGCCGTTTATTGGACAAATTTTATGATTATTCAGTTGTAGTGTACTGTGGGCATCAGAAGATGCTTGCTCTTAAAAGGCACAGCCCATGTTCATGCCTTCCAGCCCAAAAAATTGTTATTTTCAAATTCCTGTTTTGTTTGCGAAAAACAGCTAAAATACATTTTTGGCCCACACACTCTCAGATGTGATCCAAACACGAGCTGTTTCCACTTTTTACAATCTTTATGAAACAAACTATATAGGGAAACAGACTAAGTGCTGATAAATAATTATAAAGATGAACAAGGAAATTGACTGGAGCGGAATTTGAACCTGCAATCTCTGGAATACCATACCAGTTCTCTACCAACTGAGCTTTCCAGCCCTATGTCAGTGGTTCTTCCCACTTGTTAATATCTCTGTTGGGGTCGCTAGCAAACAAATAAGGGAAAACATGATTCCAAATTCGTTTCCATCTGTGGCAGTACTGTAGTCAAGTTGCAAACGTTGAGTTTAAGTCCTAATTCACAAGTCTTGTGTCACAGTCCTCGAGTCTGAGGCATGAGGCAGTTCTAAGTTGATCTGCAATTCCATCACATAAATCAACTCACCCCTATTACCTACATTTGTATATCAGTGCACATGCACAAGGAAACTCACACACACTTTACCTGACATACCTAGTGTGGCCATACCTTTCTTTTCATGCTGTTAAGAAACTCAGAGAAAATACTTGTTTTTCTTGAACTGGAAACACTGATTTTCAGCTGGCTTTTTTTACAAGGTTTCCTTGACTATTCCTCATCCTGTTACGACAGATGATTCCAGCCCCCAAATGCCTCTAAACTTCTTCTTGTCTAGTGGACATGTGTAAGTCCACAGAACGTCTTCCTTTCCTGCATCATGTGGACATCTTTTGTTCACAAGTCCACCCTAGGTATGTAAGGTTAGCACACTGAAACAGTTGCCAAAACCACACCCTCCATGCCCACTGCAAGTCCTCAGAAAGTGCTGTGTAACACAAAGATTTGTCCTATTTTTTTCAGTCACGCCTTCAGTGTGGCTATGTAGAGTTACATGTATCCAAATCTCTCTCCACTCAAATACGGCAGACGATGCTAAAATTAGACATAGAACTATTAGCTCAAGCCATGCATTTGGTAAACCGCCTTGTCCCTCCAAGCCTGATTTGTACTTCCAAGTGTGACATTTTCACTTTAACAACTGAAACTACTCTATTACTACTTCATTGGTTGGGAGGTGCTCAGGGACGGGCCATCAACCAGTCGCAACCAGCACTGCTCCTCTTGAAATTAATCCTGTGTGCTTTTGATAGCCTGAGAGAGCACTTTCGACTCAATCAACTGTAGTGCGCCTTCTAGTGCTACAACACTGTGCAGAGTCACCACCATGTTTGTCCTTCCTTTTCTAGTGCCATTGCGTTACAGTGGTGTGCAAAATAATTTGAACACTTGGCATTAGGTACTTAAATTGCTTCCAATGAAAAGGCAATCAATACACCCAACACTTGCATATTTGAGAGTGAAGTTGCTTGTAGTATTTAAGGATGTATTATCCAGACTCTAGTAACCAGCTATTTATTCACCTCTTGCTCATTATTCTGCAGTTTCTTTTTTGGTCTAAATCAATTGCAATGCTGTTTCCATGCATTAGTTCAGATTTGAAGTTCATGATGGTGAAGGTGGCAAGTAGAGGTAATAGGTTTGTGGTAGCACCGTGCATAATATCTCTGTTGTGAGTATATATGTATGTGGTTCTGATAAGAACCAGAGGGTACTAAATGTTTTAAACAATATGCTCTGTCTGTCAACAGGAGACTGGCTGGCAAGCTTTGGTGGTCATCAATAACCTTTTGTCAACATCCTATGCATAAAATTCTGAACGTATTATGAAACCCCCTAATTCACTGCACTCAACCTACCCAAATAGTTGCTTAATATGCAAATTTCCTTTGCGAAAACCCCCCAATTCACTGCACTCAACCTACCCAAACAGTTGCGAAATATGCAAATTTCCTTTGCATCTGATTCTATTTTCTAAAAACTGATCAACCACAGTGCACCCTCTGGGCCCATGATGCATAGTGGTGCCACTACCATGATTCTAAACGCATGTGTCAACTTTGGCATCTTCAAGTTATCGAGTTTCCATTTTTGCTATGCACGTTCCTGTGTTAATTTGATCAACTGTAATGTATTCAAATAAACTTTACACTAAGGATCATGTCTGTCTTTTGTGTTTTTGTGTGTTTTCCCCGTTTTCTTGTTATTTGTCTCCTCTCTTTGCATGTGCATTCTCGTAGGTTCCCCACATTGACTGTGCATAGCTGTTACACTAAATGTTTTGATTAGGGTCAATGGGGCGACCCAGGATTGTTGAGGGTTTTCCCGAGGTGGTGCAGCGATTCAATTCTGCGATCCCCCACCCTCCCCCAACAGGAGTCCGTTTGCGGATTGATCAAGTTGCAGCTTATTTCATGAATCTGTGCCAGTACAGTCTGGTTTGGACTTTGGTTCTGAGCTGTAGTGTGTGCGATATCCGAACGCTCTCACTGGAGCATCACAGACAACGGAAGTGCAGAGTGGTGCTGCACTCGGAGTTGAAATTTCCCCTGCATGCTAGGTCTGGGAGGTGCATACATTTCAACACACCCAGTTTTTCCCAAGCATTCCTTCTGGGTGATGAGGTCCAGCAGTAGTCTTCTCTCTACCAATGCCTTATATATAACTCACCAATCCATCGGTATGGCCCTCAAGGGCACACACAGTGATGGTCCTGCGCCGGTCGTAGTGACGCCCCATGCCATGAGCTGCCGACCCAATTTTTTTTTTTAGGCTTTATATGCCATGCATGCAAGTTTGTGATTTTTTTTGGGGGGGGGGAATTTTAATTTAGTGCCATGCAATGAGGAAGCATGATTGATGATGTAGCTGTAGCATAGACCTTTTTGGGCCAACATTTTCCATTTCAGTGAATCAATTATAATTGATCCATAAATGCATAAAGGATGAATATTCGAAATGTTGATAGGTTTAGTAAATCATGTGCCAGTTGGAATTCCAGTATCTAAAGATGGGATTGTGTCATTTCCATGTCAAATCAAATGACCTCTTGCAGTTACGACAGGCATCATAATCTGTTTGCACTTTTTAACTTACTGTCTTGTGAAATTTTTCTTACAAATCCCCATTCGAGGTGCAGCTGTGTTACTTTATTTTTTTCTTTAATTTTTGATCCTCAAACCTTGTGCTTTTGTGTGTTGTTGCTTCTATGACAAATCAAACTGAGTTTCAGTAAATACCATGTCACATTTTGCCAATTGAACTAATTGTGAGTCTGGGTCACGCATACTAAACCCTGACCGCGGCTCAAACAATTGCTCATAGACCTACCAATACACTATGCATCGGACTGCCAGCTAGCACCCGAGACTCCCGTGCCAGGGGCCAGCTAGGTGGGAAACAGAGAAATCTGCTCTCGGGGCGTCACTCCACCATTGTATGGAGCTTTCCCAGTGAATAAAACACGATACGGTCAGCGTACCGTGTATGCTTTATCCTGACCATTGGTCCTCTGTTCATAATGCCGGCGGTGGATGTCATTGCCCTACCGGCAGACGTATTGAGCCCTCCGATATCTGAAACTTTGTCATCATAGGCACTCAGGCATGTAAAATCGACTGTGATCTAAAGACAGGCCCCCTCTATCTATGACCAGTGATCACGCCATTCAATTCAGTATCCATGTCTCGAGCATCCTAATTCACCGAACTTTACATGTACATCGTCGTGAATTCTGCACGCTCCTCTCATCTATCAATTTCCGACTCTCCATACATGTATATTCTTTCACTCGGCCTGGTCACACCCACATTGCTTTTCAGACACGCGTTTTTCTGTAGTGGGCATGTCCCAAAGTGTTTATACTGTGACTGTTACAAAATGGTGCCTACCATCTGTGTACAGTTTTGTTTATGGGTTAGCTATTCTAGACTTTCTGACTGGGCCCCGCTTAATTGCAATGAAAGGTGAAATTGGCAAACATTAACAATTTCACCATTCAGTCACTCATGCTGTCTGTTCCAACGAGTAAATGGAACGGTTATGAGTCTGAGATAGATCTAAGATGTTTGGATACTTAACTAGGGGAGCGATCTTCCATCTTTGGGCGCTCCTTAACTGCAGCCTTTCTATTTTTTTGCAATACATGGGGAATAACCTTAATTCACCATGCATGCAATGATATGGCCATAGCCCTCCAACTTGAGGATATGAATGGCCACTTAGAAGGGAGTGTAGTGTAACAGGGCTTATTACATGTATTCTTTTCTTATGATGAATACTTCAGCCTTGTTTTAACATGTGAGCTGACCTTCCTTACACAATCACCTCCGGTGGTGGACCATCCTTTCGTACCTCTAGGTCCGGATGTAACTGTCACAATGAATATGTCACTTATCGGATGGGAGCCCCTCCTCCTGCCCTCCATTCCTCCGGGGTCTGGGGCTCTGCCTCTTGGGACAAACACATCAATGTGTTTGAACTTCAAGCAGTGTTCAACAGTCTTGGCCATTTTCGACAACACCTAGTAGGTCGTTCCGTTCGAGTCTAAGCAACAACTGAACGGCAGTGGCATACATCAAACATCAGGGCAGCACTCGCTCTCCCCAACTCTGCATCCTTGCATAGCACCTTTTCATGTGGACGAACAATCAAGGCATCACTCTCCAAGCCATCCACATAGTAGGAACCAGCAACGACATGGCAGACGCACTCTCTTGGGGTGTCGTCATCCGAACATGGTCAGACAGATCTTCTCAGAGATCAAACGTCCCATATCGATCTCTTCGCATCTTCCAACAACGCCCATCTCCCGACATTCTGCTCCAGGTTTCCTCACCTGTGGGCGTGGGCAACCGATGCCCTACAGATCGA